GTGCATAAACTAACTTGGTAAAGAACTAACTTAAGCTATAAAATGCCGCGTTCTAGAAAATAACGCCGAACATTTTGGAAATCTGGAACGCAGTGTTAAACTGGAAATTTCCCACGCTACTGCAGAGAATTTGCAAATATACCCAGCATTGACCATATTCAATATTCACGATGAAAAAAATACATTTTACTTAACACGTGCTGTTACAAGCGGAAAATTTGGAACACCGTAATTAGAAATTGAGCACAAGAGTAAAAATTCCCGATCCCCTCCTGGGCTTCAAAATGTCCAAACTATTAACAGCTACTTAAGGGGGTGAATATAAGCTGCCGAAAGGGCAATTGGGGCCCTGCGGGCGAAATAAGCAGCTCGTCTTCGAGCATTGAAGGCAAACGGCCATAATGAGCTGACGGGAACAAAGAACAATGAGGTTAACGCTGCTGGCCCGGAGATGCGAGTGGCGCAGACCCAAATTCGCCCCCCATTATCGGACGAAGTCGAGGCGATCGATCGAGAAATCGGCGGCCACGACCTTCACCATGGACTACCCGAACGAATATGGATCCGCAATACGGCGAGGACGGAAATAAGCCCACGAAGAAAATCGTCTACACTCGGTACTCACCTGCTGTTCTAGACCTGATCCATTTTGATTGGGTGCATTACTCATATTAATACTAATCAGGGCTTAGAGTAGAAGTTGTAGACCACAAACTTCTAAGGAAATCACTCAGTTTCAGTCGCTAATTTATCGCTTTTCTTTAACCAAAAGGCAAAGCAGGAAGAAACGCACAATGTCGATTGCCGCACTGACAGCTGTCACCAACTACCGGCCCAATGTTGCCAGCCCATTCAGTCACAGATCACAAAAGTTATTTATTACACACTGTTATCTGTGTATCCCATTGAAAAAAAACTGTGCGCCCACATCGATTTAAGCAAGCGAACCCAGATGGCTCCAGTGTCTGATTTCGACTCCAAATAAATTGGGCAATTTAATTCAACCTGTCTAGAACTCCCTAATACGGATTTCGAAAACGGTGGCAAGTTGAAACTTGCACCCCGTATAGAAGACACTTGACTCTCGAAACGGTGAAAGTTTCAATCGAATCGCTCTAAAACCTGATTTTTGCGCGCTCTATAAATGGAAGGTTTAAGTCAACGGCCCGCTATTATTCAAAAATTAGAAATTCTCATTCGAGATAAGGTGGCGCGTTCAAACTTACACACCCTGTAGAAGACACTTAAGTCTCGAAACTATGAAGATTTCATTGAAATCACGCTAAAATTGGATTTTTACGCGGTCTGAAAAGGCAGGTCTAAAAATGGAAGTTTTAACTCAATTGTTCGCTCCTATTTAAAAATTCGTAATTCCGATTTCAGACCAGGTGGCAAGTTGAAACTTGCACACCCTATAGAAGACACGTGAGTCTCGAAACTGTGAAAATTTCTTTCAAATCGCGCTAAAATTGGATTTTTACGCGGTCTGAAAACGCAGCTCTAAAAATGGAAGTTTTAACTCAATTGTTCGCTCCTATTCAAAAATTCGTAATTCCGATTCCWGACCAGGTGGCAAGTTGAAACTTGCCCACCCTATAGAAGACACTTAAGTCTCGAAACTACTAAGATTTCATTCAAATCGCGCTAAAACTGGATTTTTACGCGGTCTGAAAACGCAGGTCTAAAAATGGAAGTTTTAACTCAATTGTTCGCTCCTATTCAAAAATTCGTAATTCCGATTCCAGACCAGGTGGCAAGTTCAAACTTGCACACCCTATAGAAGACACTTAAGTGTCGAAACTATGAAGATTTCATTCAAATCGCGCTAAAATTGTATTTTTACGAGGTCTGAAAACGCTGGTTTAAAAATGGAACTTTTAACTCAATTGTTCGTTCCTATTCAGAAATTCGTAATTCCGATTCCAGGCAAGGTGGCCCGTTCAAACTTGCACACCCTATACAAAACACTTAAGTCTCGAAACTATGAAAATTTCATTCAAGTCGCGCTAAAATTGGATTTTTACGCGGTCTGTAAACGCAGGTCTAAAAATGGAAGTTTTAACTCAATTGTTTGCTCCTATTCAAAAATTCGTAATTCCGATTCTACACCAGATGGTAAGTTGAAACTTGCACACCCTATAGAAGACACTTGACTCTCGAAACAGTGAAAGTTTCAATCGAATCGCTCGAAAACATGATCTTTGCGCGCTCTATAAATGCAGGCTTTAAAAATAGAAGGTTTAAGTCAACGGCCCGCTCTTATTCAAAAATTAGTAATTCCCATTCCAGATAAGGTGTTGCGTTCAAACTTGCCCACCCTATAGAAGAGACTCGACTCTCTAAGCAGTAAAAGCTTCATTCGAAACGCGCTTAAACCACATTTTTGCGCGCTCCAAAACGTTAACTTAAATTTAGCAGTCCGAACTCGCACGTACCTCAGCTTTCAATCAATTTCCTCTTACCCCCACTGGCAATTAAGCTATATAGCCAGTACCACATTTATTTCACTCCACACTTGCTTAGTTTCAACACAAAAACTCAGGGCGATTTGCAGCTTTCACCGCCGTCCACCTTCATGGCTCGAATAGGCGGGATCACCACTTGGTAGATGGGCTTGGCGCCCTCCCCCACCCAAATGCTTCCATTCTCTCCCTCATTCAGCATGGTGTTGAGGCCTTCGGCCATATCTTCAACTGTTTGGCACGGCTCGGCCTTCAGCCCATCAACCACCAGCTTGCCCAGGCCGGGAAATCCCTCAAACACCCACTGCTCAGCATCGGAAATCATGGGTGTCATTGTAACGCCTGGGCAAACAGTCAGGAACCTGATCCCGGTCAGATCGAACCAGAATTGCGTGCCGATGGAGCGGGTGAACCCGACTACAAAGTGCTTGGTTCCGGTATAGCAGGGACAACCAGGCAGGCCCTGCAGCCCCAAAATGGACGCGGTGTTCACAATGGTGCCACCACACCCGCCATTGTTCCTCCCCATATGCTTGATTCCCAACAGGCTTCCATTTACAGTAGATGCGATATTGAGGTTGATCATTGGCTCCCACACTCTATCCCGCAAGATGCCCGCATTGTTCACCACCAAATCCAGCTGGTTGAACGTCTTCATGTTCTCCTGGAACACGCACTCGAAGCTGGCCTTGTCGCTCATGTCGCCCCTGACGAAAATCGCCTTGCCCGATCCATAGCAGCCGTTCATCTCCTCCGCCAAGGCTTCGCCTTGTTGCTCATCCACATCGGTTATGGTGCAACCCTGCATTCCCGCTTGGAATAGGCGCCTCACGTAGGCGGCTCCTATTCCGTTAGCTCCTCCGGTTATCAGCGCTATTTTTCCGCAAATCGCGTCCATTTCAAACGGGGAATTTTGACGGCAAGAGTGGAATCGGAACGGACTGGTAGGTGTCACCTGGGGACCAATGGGACCTTTTGCTCACCGGGGCGGTGCGTTCGATAATATGACTGCCCAACTAGCAAACTTGCCAGTGTGTTTCCACTCTTACCAAAAGGAAAAAAATAGCTGCCGCAATGGGAATCGAGGTCGGGCAATAACCAACCATTCAGATCACACACATTGTCACTTTAATAGCAAATAGCACTAATAGGGAATTAAACTTTCTCACCGCTTCGCTTGTACTCCCTGGCAATGGTCTTGACCGCCTCCATTTGCTCCTTGAGCTTCTCCACTTCGGAGCCGCCGCGCAGCATCACCGCAATAAAGTCGTGATAGTTCATCAGGGCGGCGTGCTGCGCCTCCTCCATTTGCGGCTTAAGGAAGCCCAACACGGCCGAAATGTGCTTGCCGCTGATATGCAACAGAGTCTGCGTGGCTGTGCTAAACAGCACCAAAGTGGCCAGGTGAAGAACAGTGGCCGGGTCTTCGCACCCTTGCAGCTCCTTCAGAAGGTCCAGTTTGACGCGCAGCACCCCCGATCGGTCCTGCTTCTTGTCGACTTTCCGCAGGAAGACGCCGCAGGCGTCCAGCGCCGGATCCAGGGCGCTAGTAAATTCCTCCAAACTGGTGCCGCTGAGCGCTTTGAACAGCGGCAGCAGCGCCGCATAGTCGGAGTTTTGGCTAAGGAATTTCAGCTTTTCATTGGAGGTGAGCGTGCTGATGTCCAGTTCGGCGCCGCTGTCAGCGACGGCGAAGCCCAAGAACTCGGCCACTAGATCGGAGCAGATGCTCTTGAGCAAGTACTTGGTGATGGAGGCTTGGAGCTCCACTGGGAGGAGTTTGCAGCCTTTCTGGTACCAGCGCAGCTCGTTGATTAGGTTCTCCACTCTGGAGGCGAACTCCTGGTGTCTTCTGCGACGCAAGGCCGTCTTGTCCGCGATGGTTTCCTTGAAAATATCCGCAGCCAGCTGGAGGACTGGAATATTTGATTGAAAAGAGGTTGGTGCATGCGGGCATAAACTCACCTCTCTCGTTCAACAAAGGCTGCAAATGCTGCGCGATGGCCTCCAGAATACTGTCCAGGCCCTCGTCTTCCAAGAAGGGCTGGATCAGTTCAGAAACCACCTCCAAAGGAAGCACAGTAAACGCCTTTTTGCTCTCCTCCTCTACCTCCTGGTCGTCGTCCTCCTCCTGCGCCCGGTGCCTCGAGTGTCTCTTAGTGGACTTGGTCTTCGTTTCACGCCCTTGAGTGCCGCCCCCGCTTTTTCCGCCTGCTGCCTTCTTGCGCCGCTCTTCCCTCTTATCCACGCGATCATCCTCCTCTTTGCCTCGCTGCAATTTCCCTCTTTCGCCACTCTGCAGTTCCACCTGGTGCTTTTGATACTGCCCCGATTCCACCAGGCTTTTGGCGCGATGCTGCACAGCTTCCGAGCACAAATCGCTTATTTTATCCATGTAGGCCTTGCTCAGCACGAAGCTCTCCAGCAGAACAGTTTCCTGGTTCTTCTGCCCTTTGAGCAGATGCTCCACCACCAGGGAAAGGTCTTTGGGCGTTATGCTGGAGGGCAGGGAGGTTTCCAGGTCGACAAACCCCCCAATCGCTATGCACTCTTCGATGTAGTCGTTCACGCGCTCTAGCAGAGAGGGGGCCACCGCCATAGAGTCCAGAACAAAGAGCTTATCCGCAGCGTGGACTTTCCTTATGTAGCTTTTCGGGTCGGAAATCCCTATTCTGATCAAGGCATCGAATTCTAGATACTGGTTTTGCTTCAAAAACGCCCGGGACCACTCGTTCTGCCCCCTAGTGTAGCAGCTGGGGATGTACTGAGCCCCCGACTGTCTACTGGTCAGGCTGCCAAAGGCGCAGCTCTGCTCAAAGAGCCCAAAGAAGAGCTTCTCGCTAATCCCAATCTGGCTGACGATGGAGCCGACTGCTACCGGCCTAGATAGGCCGTTTAGGGCGCCTTTGAGCTGCGCTTTGGCGCGCGAGATAAAAGCCTCGATGAAGAAGCTTTTTGGATCGGCGGGATCTTGGATGGCTTGAATGACGCCCCCCAGGTGCTTCTCCAGCACTTGATGCTGAAGAAAGTCTGCGGGCAGGTCATAGGCAATGGTCAAGTCGCTCACATTAATATGGCCCTGCTGCTGGAGCTTCTCGTTGATCTCTCCAGCTATCCGCAGCGTGTAGCTGTGGTCGATCAACTGACCTGTAAATTTTAAACTTAGCCAAATTCTGTTGCTCTCGCTTCATCTAGAACTTACCCAGTACATTCTGGACATCCTTCCGGCCCTTCAGCACCTGGTTCAAATGGGCATTCACCTGCCCAAAGTCCACGCCAATATTCTTGGCCAAATCCCCCAAGCTGATCCTGCCCCCGCTCACATAGAGCTCGTTCTGGATATCCGTCACCAGCTGAGCGGGAGTTAGGTACTCTTTGCCATCGCTGGTGAATATCAGGTCGATCAGCTTCTTCTCAATGAGCCAGGATACGATTTCGACGCAATTGCGCTCAGATAGTTTCTGAGCGCTGACGCTCAGCTGCACTTTTTGAAAATCGGCCGCCAACCGCTTGATTTCTTCCCAATCCGACATATTTTCCACTGTTTAAGAGAAAATGGGGCCCAAAAATTGATTAAATGGCAACAAATAAACACTTTTGAACATATGGCTGCCAAAACAAAGCGTCACACTGATTGACGTTCATTTGCCGCGGGGTTGTCGCGTTGATGATTCGGGTTCACCCTTTAACTAGGCAAAACGTACATTTTTCTGATAGAAATTGAATAATCAAGCTTGGAAAAGTCTAGCCATGCGGCAACACGGCCCAAATTTTCGGTAACCCAACCTCAATCCCAGTGACATAACCTCCATATATTTGACATCATTTCGTCAACTTAGGGCCCCAAAGTTTAGTAAAAATGGCCATAATCAACCTGCTGAGAGCCCTAAAACTCCAACACGTCAAATCTAGCACCTTGCTAAAGGTGAGTGTCACTCTCCATAGTAATTTACTAGGAATTTGGGGGCTTGAACCCTTAAGCACACTGTGTTGTTTCTAGCGCTCCTGGTCCAGCTCCGTCCAGCTGGCCGACCACAAGGACCTATCCAGGATACGCAACATTGGAATATCCGCCCATATCGACTCCGGGAAAACCACACTGACCGAACGGATTCTCTTCTACACCGGCAAGATTGAGGCCATGCACGAAGTGAAAGGCAAAGACAATGTGGGGGCCACAATGGACTCGATGGAGCTGGAAAGGCAGCGCGGCATTACGATACAATCGGCGGCCACTTACTCGCTGTGGAAGGACCACAACATCAACATCATCGATACGCCAGGCCATGTGGACTTCACTGTGGAAGTGGAAAGAGCCCTAAGAGTGCTGGATGGGGCTATTTTGGTGTTATGCGCTGTGGGAGGCGTGCAGAGCCAATCGCTGACTGTGAACAGACAGATGAAGCGGTACAATGTGCCTTGCATCGCCTTCATTAATAAACTGGACAGAATGGGGGCGAATCCTTATAGGGTGTTGTCGCAAATGAGGTGAGTTAACGCAAAAAAAACAAAAACCCTGCAGGAAATTTAATTTCCTTCCTCTTAGGGCAAAGCTGAATCACCATGCCGCGTTGATTCAACTGCCCATAGGGCTGGAAAGCGACTGCGAAGGATTAGTGGACCTTATAGCAGAAAGGGCGGTTTACTTCGAAGGCGACTACGGAGAAGAGCTGCGCTACGATGAAATCCCCCAGAAAATGAGGGCAGAAAGCAGCGAAAGGCGTAGCGAACTGATCGAGCACCTGTCGAACGCCGACGAACTTCTGGGCGAGCTTTATTTGGAGGAAAAGGAGATCACTGAAAGCCACATAAGGGCGGCCATTCGACGCACCTGCCTTACGAGAACATTCACGCCAGTAATGCTGGGCACGGCGTTGAAAAACAAGGGGGTGCAGCCCCTGTTGGACGCAGTGCTGGAGTTTCTCCCCAACCCGGGGGAAGTGACCAACTTCGCCTACAAGCAAACGGGTGCGGATGAAGAAGGCAATCAAGAGGACAACAAAGTGGTGCTGAATCCGGAGCGGAGCGGCCAGAACCCGTTCGTAGCGCTGGCTTTCAAGCTGGAAGCCGGTCGGTTCGGGCAGCTGACCTACATGCGCTGCTACCAGGGGATGCTGAAGAAGGGCGACTACATCTTCAATGTGCGCACCCAGAGGAGAGTGCGTATTGCCCGGCTGGTGCGGATGCACTCCAACCAGATGGAGGACGTCTCTGAGGTCTACGCGGGCGATATTTTCGCCCTATTTGGCATCGATTGCGCTAGCGGTGACACCTTCGTCACCGACCTCAAAGGCAACATCTCCCTAGAGTCGATATTCGTGGCCGAACCAGTGGTTTCAATGGCAATCAAGCCGGCCAACAACAAGGACCGCGACAATTTCTCCAAAGCCATCGCGCGCTTCACGAAAGAAGACCCGACCTTCCGCTTCGAGTACGACAGCGACAACAAGGAAACGATTGTCTCGGGAATGGGGGAGCTCCATTTGGAGATTTACGGACAACGAATGGAGCGCGAGTACGGCTGCCCGGTTATCTTGGGCAAGCCCAAGGTGGCCTTCCGCGAAACTCTGGTCAACCCTTGCGAGTTCGAGTACTTGCACAAGAAACAATCGGGAGGACAGGGCCAGTTTGCCAAAGTGATCGGGATCCTGGAGCCGCTGCCCGCCCACAAAAACACCACGTTGGAGTTCATTGACGAAACCGTCGGCACTAACGTGCCCAAACCCTACATTCCCGGGATCAGAAAGGGCTTCCTGTCGATGGCCGAAAAGGGCAACTTGGCCGGCCAGAAGCTCGCCGGCCTGAAGTATCGGCTAATCGACGGCGCCCATCACAGCGTGGACTCGAGCGAACTGGCCTTCTTCCTGGCCTCCCAAGGCGCCATCAAAGAAAGTAAGTCCAACTCCTTGCTGCTTTGAATTTTCACCGCACAAAAACGTTTTCAGCTTTCGAAAAGGGCCATTGGCAACTGCTGGAGCCGATCATGTGCGTCGAAGTGAACGCGCCCGATGAGTTCCAAGGCACTGTAATGGCCCAGCTGAACAAACGCCACGGGATCATAACAGGAGTGGATGGAATCGACGGCTGGTTCACTTTGTACGCGGAAGTGCCCCTAAACGACATGTTTGGATATGCGGGCGAGTTGCGGTCGAGCACCCAAGGCAAAGGCGAGTTCACCATGGAGTACAGCCGTTACGTCCCATGTTTGCCGGAAGTTCAAGAGAAACTGGTTATGGAATATCAAAGAGCCACCGGCCAGATAACGGAGAAGGATGTGAAGAAGAGCCGGAACTAAGGAGGAGGCTTGCGGGCAAGGCAGGCAAATAACGTGTAAATATAGAATAGTTTTTGTACATACATCAGTAGGTTTTTCTAATAGAATCCAACTTGCCTTTTCGCGCAAAGGCCTCACGAATCATTTCGACGGTCGCTTTTTCGCTGTTATCGTCGATTATCAGGGCGGTGTGCACTTGCACCCTCTTCCCAGGTTTGGGTGCTACAGTGGCGGTTTGCCCTGCTTTTGTAAACGCCTCCAACCGGTACCGGAACATACTAGCGACTTCCAAAGGATCTGCAAATACATCAGCATTCATAAATGAAGACTCCAAGACTTTTGGCTAAACTCAGTGAACCTAGTCGATGGACTTTCAACATTACTACTGGAAATAATCAGAACTTCCCAACCATTTTTATTGAATGTTGAACAGGAAGGTTTCAAATACAATTGGGTTTTATGGTTGTTTGAGAAAATCATAATGTTGTTGGAAAAAATCAGCAAACAAGAAAAACAGCTCGGTTTTTCCCAGTTTGAGCTGTAGTTACTAACTGTATTTCAAATTCATTTTTCTTTCCAATTGCATTTGATTATTTCCATAGTAATAGTGAACTCCTGTGTACGCTTCAAATAGAATCTGTAAGATCAAGACTAACCTTCGGCAAACTTCAGCTCGTGTTTAATGTGCGGAAACGCGATACTGTGCGTTCGCAAAATCGCTTTTCCTTTCACGTCGCCTAAAACAGTGGCTTTTTAAAACAGTTCTCTTTGCCCGAACTCTACTAAACTAACCGTAAAAGTCCACATCCTGATGTGCAGGCTTGTTGGGCGGGAACGGCTGCCAAACAACCGCCTCCTGCTGTTTGGAATTCACTGCAATGGAAACTCAGTTCAGTCACAACTCTTAAACCCTCTTATTACTCTTACCGTTCATGGCTATCAGGTCAAGAAGTTTCATGGCTTCGATGTTAAGCAGCCTGTGTTTGAAGAAGTTGTGCTGCAAGTGTTGGCTGCAAATTTTCTTGTTTTCGTAGTAGTTGATGACGTTTTTCGAGAGATTGCCGTATTTTATGAAGCCATTTAGCGACGGAAATGGGCACATTTTCATGTTTCTTGAACTGTTTTTACAATCTTTAATGGCACATTTCTCCACCTAAAACCCCACAATTGCCGCTAGTTCTTTGAAATGTTTTAAATTTGCGACTGTTTACCACTGGGAAATTCGAGGCGCAGTTGGTGAGGCGCTTTTTCCGCAGCCAATGTGGTTGCGAGTCGGAAGCCAAAGGGTCTCGATACAGTCTGTAGTCCTCCGGCACGCTGCCCGGGAGTAAAGTGCCCCACTTGCTAAACTGCGTCCTGTTAAAGTGATTGGAGCAGATAAAGAGCATTTTGAGATCCTCATCAGCAACGCAACGCGGTATGCCCGCCTTGATTCGCCAGGCGTTTAGGCTAAAAACCTTTCATTACATCCACTGTTTCACTACCAGCTAAAACCAGCTTACACATCTTTCTCTGTTGGGAATAGAAACTTTCTCGCCACTTTTTTCAGGTGAGTGGCACAGTTTATAACGGCACAGTATTGTCTCATTGGTTTATAGACTGCTTGAGGGCTGGCGCTAGCATTTACCGCAGAATCTTCTTCATTGCATAGGTTAATTACGTCGGGCTTCCGAGCGGCCTCGCCGCCTGATCCTGAACAAATAAACCGTAGTCGGACTTTTGGTGCCAACCTGGTTACTTACCACTGATGGCTTCATTGGTTATTCGATCCAGAACTTCTTGGGTTGAGGACGGTGTGAGCAGGGCGCTCGCTTTGGATAAGGCAGTTTTATCGCAGAAGTTGTGATGGAGGTGTTTGGTGCACACTTTCTGCTTTTGGTAGTATTCCAGGTTGGTCCTCGAGACATTGTTGAGCTTTATTAGATACCCTAGAGCTTTAAGCGGCGGGAACGTTGACGTCGGCTTTTCCTGGCAGTTTCCGATGCAACACTACAAAACGTTAAAAGTTTCCCAGTTTCACTTATCAGGCAATCACCGCTTGAACCTTTGGCTGTCGAATGATAGAGAAATCTTTAACGCAGTTTGTCAGGATTTTCTTCCGTCGCCAATTTGTTCCGTTGCTGTTCACAACAGGATCTGAATACAAGCGGTAGCTCGTGGGCGCAGCCAGCGGTTTCACACTGCCGTCGCTTGTGAACTGACTTTTCATGAAATGTTTTTCACACACAAACAGCAATTTTAGCCCGTCGACTGGAAAGGAACTCGGAATTCCTGCCCGCAAACCCCATTTTTGACGCCTAAAAATCGCCCAATAAACCTTACATTTCCTTGCAATTAAAGTTGGCCCAACTTACATTGGCTCATTCAATGGAAATTTGAACTTTTTAGCCGCTTCCAAATTATGCGTTGCACAATTTATAAAGGCGCAGTATTCGGTGATTGGGACGTACATTTCCGGATCCTGCGATTCTTCCTGCTCAGAATCCTCTAAACCATCGATATTCACCGCTGAAGCACCGCTGCTGATCTGATTGCTTTCGATCCATAATATCTGCAAGCCCAGAAACACAGCCGCGCTAGCATTGAAGATTCCAGTTTTGAAAAACTGATGACTTAAATGGTCTCCACAGACTTTCTTCCCACCGTACCGCTTTTGTATCTCGTAGACCACTCTAGGGTTGTCCACACGGTTCAAGTAGGCAGGAAACTTGTGCAGCACTGTTGTATTATCAGAATGTGTGCAATTTTTGAAACAGCACACGTCCAACTAAAGAATACACATCAGTTATTTGTTGAGGGCATAATTACGTGTTCAGACTGGAAAAAACTCTCCGATCTTTGAAAAAATCTTAAAAACTTGGACAAAAAAAGATTAATTCCCGAAAGGTCAGCTTTTCCTCTAAAAAAATATTTAAAAAGCCTATTTAGAATTCTGCTGGTTTTTCAGGGAACAAATGTAGAACTTAGCCAAGGCTAACCTTTGAGACAATTTAATAATTGAAAATTCGTAAAAATGGCTTGATGACCTGAAAATGACCACAAATCTGGCACCTTAACCGACACCGTAACAAAAACCCGAAAACACATTAAATATTGCATAAATCACTGAGAAAAACTTCAACTTTTGGCACTTGTAGATCAGAGTTTTCTCAACAAAATCCTATTAAAGGCGACCCTCTACCTACACGGGTTTCTTAGGAAATAAATATTGAACTCATGGTTAAAATGCTCAACATATCGAGAATCTTTCACTGAAAAAGCGACTGAAATCATAAAAGCTTCTTTGAAAAAACACGTCACCCATTTGTACTGGCAAAAAACACCCCAAATTGATAACATCAGATAAAACTTGGAATGGAAGCGTGAAACATACCTGTGGTTCGGAAGGGCTACTCCTTATTCCCCCAGTATTCGGCTTGGCTTTAGCAGCGGAATAAGTTACAGTACTCCGACCGTTAGTCCTCATTTTCTTCTGCACCCAATGTGGATTCCCGTCTATTGCTGAACTATCATTATAGACCTTGTAAGACCAAGGGCAGATGCCTGGTTTTAGAACGTTCAATGGGGAAAACTCCGCCGGCTTGAAGTGTTTGTCGCATATGAACAGATGTTCCACCTCGGCCTCTGGTAGCGAAGCCCGGATTCCTGCCCGTTCCAGCCAGACTTTTTGCCTAAAAAACGACCATAAGAAGGTTTTTTGCTGCTGCTAAGCGCGGTCTTACGTCGCTGGATCTGATGGAAATGCCATCTTAGTGGCCGCCTTTTCTATGTGGGTGGCACAATTTATAAAGGCGCAATACTCTTTTACCGGGTGGTAAGCTTTCTGGGGTGCAGCACCTGAAACCGCTATGTGCAGCAAGGGCAGGAATAAAGAACCTGTTTTAACTTACCCCTTGATGCTTCTAAGTCTGATTCGTCGGAACTTAAGCAAATTACCCGCTTCTCTTTATCAACGTTCCGCGCTGTTCCTGCAGTTGCACCCAACTGCTTTATCGCGCTGCTTGGCTGTGCCTTTGGCTTTCCCACTGAAACAGCCAGCTCATACAACCAGACTCAAGTTGAACTAGTTCAGTTACACTCACCACTATTTCCCACTTTAGGAGGGTTATTGCTGCTTGGAGCAGCCTTTTCACCTGAAACGCCCCAACTAGTTCCTATTCCCATATGATAACAACTGCGTGAAACTTACCAAGATTCTTCCGCGGCGTAGCCTGTTGGTCGAGGGGTTGAGCTACAATAACTTTGCGTTGCACGTCAGTAATAATCGCCTTTAGTTTTACATTCTTCGCTGGCATCAGCTTAATCCCCACGGGTTTCGGGACTTGTTTCAGAAAAATAATGGGATTTGCTGGACTTTTACCGGCGGCTGGAGTGTTTGGTTGAACCTGCTTCTTTACCTCTCGCTTCTTTACGGACTGGATAACTGGACTAGGTTCTGAAATGCCATCTATCCCTACAAAGAAAACTTGCGGTGCAGCAGAGCTTTGATTTCGGTTTTCAATCGCCGCCACTCGTGGCCTTTTAGCTGGCACCGGGCTGGACTGGGACTGCGAAGGGCTTAAATTGGCAGAACCGTCTGCCGAATTTCCTGCTGCTCTCTTGAGTTGAGTCCGCAAAATGGGGCTTTTGCTTAGAGTGTCTGGCCCAAACTTTATACACTTTGGTAGCACCATCGACTTATTTAATATCACAACGGGCTTGGCTAAAATGAACAGAACCCTTGTTAGGATAGTGTGGTTTGGACTCCCAGCTCAACTCACGTTCGCTGGTTGGAGACAACGCTAAAGGATCCTTTAGCATTAGAGGCATCAACAGATCCTCGTCGCTTCTGATTCTCAAAGACTTTCGGGTTGGAGCAGGCGGCAAGTTCAATGTGGGGATTGCGCTGCGGGTCAAACTCTTCTTATCTAAAACCCAGCAAGTTTTTACAAGATTGAGTAGCAACAATAATTCAATATATACCCGGGGAATCAAACTCGTCGTCTTTAAAATGCCTTGAGCATACGGTCATGTCAATCGTGACCGGTTGTTTCAATTGCAGAATGCGTTTCCAGGCCTCATACCTGCTCACCGCTTCAAGGTTTCCCTGTTCATTCAACAGTTGAACCGCAGTAAGTTCCAGCTTTGGGGGGAAATTGTGGTATTTGATTCCAGCAGTAAATGCTGGGAAGTTGGACTTGCAGCCTGCTACGCAGCACTTTCTGTTCTGATTGAACTCCATGGGGGCGCAGGCTGGACAGGCTGGAGTAGAATTTATTCTCCACTGTGGGCTCCAGATCCAGCGACTTGTATTGATGCCAGCTTCTACGATTAACCGGCTGCAACTGTTCAAAGCACTGGGGATTAAAAAACCAACAGCATTCACCACAGATGTTAAGACTGGCGCCCCAACGCCCCTAACCTACAAAAGTAAACACCCTAGTAAACCGTTTTCAGAGGGCCACACTTGCGCCACTCCCTGTCCCACTCTCGCTCAAGTAAAATCCCCATCGCGCACTGTTCTAACAGATGGCAGCAATGCAAGTTCAACTAGTTGCAGGGTGGCCATTCGTACGGTAATTACCGTAAATGTACGGTAATTTGGGCAATTGTGCAGTGTAAAAAATTATACTTTAAAAACCGGCGTTGTTTAGTTGGTAAGAATCCAACACTATCCAGGGTTTCAGACTACTGGGGGTCTTCGCGAAGATGTTTATCCTCCAGCCGCCGGGCAAACAAAAAAACAGAAAGTTGCAGATTTTTTAGTTGACAGGTAAAAGTTTTGTTTAAGTGCATTGATTGATTGTCTTTTATTAGAATTGTTCCTGTTATGCAATAAACAATTGAATTGAATTGAATTGAATAAAATGAATTATAAGTTTCTTGTTTGTCTCGTCTCTGCACAAATCAGCACTTCTCCACTTTCGAAGAAATCAACAACCTTCGTTGCCTAGAAACCGTCCCTGGTGACGTGCGTTTCCGGATACACATAAACCTGATCGACCAATCGCTTGTCGACTCTTTGAATACAAGACATGTACCATGGCAACGAGTAAATACAAACA